TTAGTAACATGAAACTGCTCAGTTGTTCATGCAGATATATAGCACAAACATATTTAGTTTGTTTCCACAATAAGATCAGACATATCTGGAACGCCTTGTATTTTTAATGTTTTCTCATTTGCTAAATGTAATAAAGATACAAAAGAAATAGGAAAACTCAGAGCTTCTTTGTTGTTTTTTGTTAACATATCTGGCAATGTTTTATATACTTCACTAAAACTTTTGCTTTCCTTCATTTTATATTCTTCTTGCTGGTTTTCTGTATTCTGTGCATTTGTATTTTCTTCAACATTATTTAAAGTGAGACTTTTCCAAATGGACTTTTTCAATTGTCGCATATCTATCCTTTGTACTCGAATACTATACGCGATGGATATTTTATTTGTTAATTTTGGAATAGACACCAAGTTATCTCCAGTAAAAATCATTTGCGTATCTATCTCATCGTGTTCCGACCCGTTATTACATTCATTCTCATTATTGTACTCATTTGTTCCATAATCTGTATTGGAAACATTAGGGCAATAATCTGATACATCATTTTCATTATTGTAATCATAATTATCTATATCAGATATACGAGTAGCATTTAATTTATCTTTTTTTTCCGTATATAAATCTATTGATTTATAAAGGTACAACCTACTAGCACTTGCAATATTATAATTCATATCTCGCGGTAGTGTATTTACTTCTTCCTGCCATTCTATGTTTTTAGCATTCAATTTTAATGCTTTACTGGGTAAAAAATTTTCTATTATCGCTTCTTTTATACTGTCACTATAGCATAATTCTATTTCTTTCCTTTTTCTATCTGGTTTCTGTTGACACGTTTCTATAATTTTTCTCTCTCTAAAGAGTTTGGACCAATTACTTAGTCTCCAATGAGATGGACCAGCCCAATGTAGGCTGATGTTTTTCTGAAGGAAAGAATACTCAGATTTTTTAGAAACATTAGTGTTGGATACAACTTTGCATAAGTCTACAATTTTTTGTATTGGCTTTTGTGTTTCAATACATCTGTCTACATTCTCGTTTTCATTCTGAATATCTAAGTAACTTATATCATTATTGATTGCTTCATTCTCTGATGGCAGACTAGCATCTAAATCAAATTGAAATCTGTCTTCATTATTTTTTTCTAATTGTGTACCCTTATCTTCTTCTTTTTCTTCTTCTTCTTCTTCATTATCATTGGTCCAACCTTGAAATTCGAAATTAGTTAAAGGTAAACAGATTTCTACTTCAGAGAAATCTTCTATTCTTGGAATAGCCACTTCTGTGGTTTTACTATTTATTTTATGTTCTATGGTATCCACCATAACATCATTGTACATGTGTAAATAAAACTTAGAAGATGCATGATTTGACAGCATTACTTGGTATAATGCATCTGTAGTTTGTGAATCTTCATTTTCCATTATCCATAATGAAGGTTTCATAGTTTCAACAATTCCTTTTAAACTATCTACTGTACCAAAAATCTTTACCCTACTTTTCTTTTTTCTCTTTTTACTTTGGTCTTGTAGATTATCTATTTGAGCTTCTTTATTATTTAAATTGCTTTCTGTATCATCAGTTGAATTCTCATCTCTTTCTTTATCTAATCCACCAGCCATTTTCATTAATTGTGTGTAAACACCATCTACACGAAAACCATAGATTTTAGTGCTTACATCTAAGGAGGTACTGGCTAATTGTAGATTAGTCATATTGGCATCCTTTTTTTTTATCATATAAGTCATAAAGTCGATTATTTCAAGGCTAAATGCATTTTTTACATTAATTTTATTTTCAGTGCTAAGTTTTACACATTCAGTTATTTTGTCTTTTATCTCAGGTGCTGACATTTGGGCTAAAAAACTGAGTCCTAATGACTGTCGTTTATTTTTTGTATTTACATTCTCTGCTGATATGGTGGTAGTATTAATTTCACGGCGTCTAGCCAATCTTTCAGCTTCATCATTATTTTCTAACAAAGCTGATGATAATAAATTTTGTGTGTGAAGAGATTTTCTTCGTGAAGCTGATGGAGTACTGCAAGATGGAGTCAATGGTGTATTTATTTGCACTGCCATTTTGCAAATTTATATGGGTATATAAACAGAAATTAAATATGCTTATCACAAGTATCTGCACTTATGTATCTGGAAGAAATATTTTTACATGTGTACTTCAGCAAAATGTTGACAAAACGTTGTTAATAAACGTTAACAGAAATAAAAATTATTTATCCTTGAAAGAAGTGAAGTTGTTTATAATTTTTTCCAAATCAGCTCTCATTAATCGTAATAATGAATAATATTTTTGCAAATCGTGTTGCATTTGTTGTAGAGTTTTCAGTTCGTTCAAAAACTTCTGGAAACAATACATCAATATTCAGGTAAACTTTATAATGTTAAAAGAATACTTGTACCACAGCATAGTTCGCTTTTCTTTTTTTTATACCTTATTTTCCATTTGTTGAAACTAATACAAAAGATATATTTAAAAGTATTAAGTTAATATTGATCGTTCCACTCCGACACATTTCTGCATGTAACAGAAAGTGTCACAAATTCAAACGTTTGAATACATAAGTGTTCTCAAAACTATTTTTTTTAAATAATAATAATTAATCTTTATTTTCATTTAGTATTTACAGGTAATTATTTTAAATCTATCTTATTTGATAAGTGCAGAAAGAATATATGTTTTTACAAATTTTTAATTACTTAAAAACTTTGCGAGTAAATTTTGGTTTGACAGAAAGGAAACTTGTCAAAGTTAGTTTTTGATAGAAGCATAACAGTTTTGCACTGTTGGCAATGCCGTTAAATGTGACAGGTCAGTCTGTAAGAATGGCGACTGCGGTAGAAGAACAGAATTCGGTTGACATGAGTGAAGATAAAGAATCACAGTGAGTTATGACATATTAATTGTAAAAAAATGTTAACCTACTGCTAACATGAAATTATATTAAAATATTGTAAATAGAATGCTACAATTACGATTAGGCTATAAGAAAATAACCTAACGCATAACATCATTCGTGATCCTTGGCGATATTTTTTAATTTATACGTTTATTTACATTGCAGATTCGACCAAGTCACTTATCACCAAGTTAGTTGGGTGGATATTACTCAAGAATTTTTCGAGGCCATTAGAGGTGCTTATGTAGAAACTAATTTCCTCCCTTGCAAATGTTTGCTTGTGTTTTCTTTTTTATTTCTATCTCTCCTTATATTTTTCGTCGTGTGATAGTTGGGGGCGATTATGTTTCGATTTATGCGCTACCTTTTCTGTCTAAATAATTCTACTATTTTATTTAGTAGAATGTTATTGGCAATTAAGTGTCATTTTTAATCAAATACATATAAGAGGGTTATTTGTTGAGACTTTAATTTATACTAATTAACGACACAAATCAATAGGTCTTAATATTATATTATCAGTACAAGATACTTTATTATTATGTTAATTTAGAACTGGAGTTAGGTGAAATATTACACGATGAGTTGTTTGGATTATTTGAGGCAATGTCTGCAATTGAAATGATGGATCCAAAAATGGATGTTGGCATGTTGTGCAATCGAGGGAACAACAAACCATGCACTTTTGCACAGGCTGTTGAATCGGGTGCATTAAAATTGGACAATTTAACTCCAGCAGAAGTTATAGGAATAATAGATTCAACCTATGCGTGTATAGTGTCTTGGTTGGAAGGTCATAGTTTAGCCCAAACAGTTTTCACTAACTTGTACCTTCACCAACCCAGTCAAATAGTGGATAAACCTTTAAAAATCTTTTGTTATGCTGTGTACAAAATAATTGAGATAATTAAAGATTGCATCAATAAAGCATTGGTTTTTGAAGAAGAAGATTTCCAGAGTGTTACTTACGGTTATAGATTGCAACAGGATATTACAGAACAAAAAATCATATCTATGTTACAAGAAGTAGAAGAAGAACTACATAGGAAAAGTAGAATAAAACTAATCGATGTAGAATTAGAGACAGAAGTATGTGTATGTTCCAAAGCATAATGTGTGTTAAATTTATGTGTGATTCAATATGTAAATAATTGTTTGAACTATTATTTCTTCTAGTATAATGATGGATTAGCATTGTATGCCAGAATTAGATTTACTAAAATGTTTTATCGAATTTTATCATTAATGGGGAAAAAAGAACAATTGCAACAGAATTTAAATGATTGTCATAGATTATTATCAAAATGTTCTTATATAATTCAAGTTATGATTAAGACAGTAAACTGTGGAGAGAAAGCTGATGAAATATGTAAGTTTTTCAAAATTGTTTCTTTGTTTCTATAAATAATATATTATATTTCGATTGTAGCAAATTATCCAACTATTATGGGGTTTGATCCCATGGTAAATCAAAGATTATTACCACCAACATTTCCACGGTATACTAAGATAAAACCAAGAATAGAGGCTCTAAAGTATCTGGATGAATTATTGAATAGATTTCGAACAGTTACTATGATCACCAACCAGAATGGATTTCATGCAGCTCTGGTAAGGAAAGGTCTACAATTAAATAGGAATGTTTGGCATATATTCCAAGTGCACTGATTTCTTTTTAGGACTTTTTTTTAGAATTTTCACGACAAAGTCCGTGTATACTATCCAGATCAATGCTGCAGATAATTTATTTACCTACAACAAATCGGGTGTTCGGTGTGCAAAACTTTGCCGATGTTTTGAAAGAAGCGGTACGAAATTTCACAGGGTCTCCAGCTTTAATGCCAAAGAGCACGTTATTTTACAATCATCTAGCCAAGGGAAATGTTGATAGTTTCATGTCTCATTGTGTATACCTCTTTGGCAGTTTATTACAACTTACTGGCCATAACAGAGCAAGACAGAGAGACAAATTAGCACATTTATTGGAAGAATTTGCAACATTGCAAGATGAAGTAAGTTGAAAAGAAATTTTCGTTATATAATACTTACGAATCTCGTTATTTTAATTTCGAAATTTCAACAGGCTGAAAGATTAGATGAATTTTTACACGCTTGTTTGACATTGAAAGGTGATGCATCCAGGTCATACTTAACTTGTTTTCAAACATGGATTTTGTATTATACACTACGAGTAATGGTCATATATTTGTTAAGTGGTTTTGAGTTAGAATTGTATTCCGTACACGAATACCACTATATATTTTGGTACCTGTATGAATGTCTTTATGGATGGCTTGTATCAGCTATTTCAAGAGCTAGTATGTTTTTTATGCAGCAAGATTTACATAACGATACACATAAAGGTAGAGGCGGTAAAAAGAGTGCGAAAAATAGGAAGAAAAAATCGACATCGAGTACATATGGTTTAGAAATATTAATGTATCAAGCTATGCAAAATATATGTGGAGGATATTATAAAGTAAGCTTTATGGTTTTATAGAAATAATATCGCTACAAAAATAATTTCATTTCAATTATGAAATTTATTTTGCAAGGCTTTACTTGGTTTTCGTATCGATGGAAAAATACCACTTCCGGAAGTGCAATTTGATTCAGAAAAAATTCGGTATGAGCATAGGTTATCACCGTTTTCTGCGTTACTGACACCAACATTGGTCCGTTACGACACCTTCTTAGAAATGACTAAAGAACAGACAATGTACGAAGGAAATGTAAGTCTAACAATCTTTTTTGCTTTCTTCAAGTAACACTGAGTATATTGTTTAAACTGTTATTTGTCTAGAAACCGATTACTGGTGAAGTGCAGTACTTAGCCGGTTGCCGTCATTTTAATCAAGCTAGAAGTATGTTGAACCGGGCATTGTCCCTTTACCCACCGAATGCTAGTACCGTAAACGAGGTAAATAATCTTAAATCTTCAGTGTATTTGTTCGTGTCTTCGTTAAGAAATGATATTTCAATTGTATCGTTTAATTTGTAGATCAATCAGTTGTTAAAAGTGGCGAAAACGAATTTCGTGGTTCTAAAGTTGCTCGGTTATGGACATAAAAAGGATTCCAAAGAACCTCCAGTATTCGACTTCTCGTGTCATCAACATTTTCCATTGATAAAACTGTCCTAAATCATTTGTAACGGCCATCATTTCATGCTATAAACGACCTATTATTTATTCTAGCTTTAATCGTGCAAAAAATATTTTTGTGTTGTTGACTTTGGATGCCTTTTTTTTTTCTTGTTTAATACAACCTTTTAAAGCTCTCCACCCTTTTTCGTTTTATTAACGATAAACCCTTCATTGTACAGATATGTATTATTTGTCGTACATATTTTGTGGATAAATTTCTATGAAAAAGATTAAAAAGATATTTGTATATATTTTATCATATATTGTATATGTTTTAAGTGAGTTCATGTGGATATTGTTGTGCGTAATAAATAAGAACTCGATATAATATACGACCGTTCGCTAGCTGGTCAAAATCGAGACTCATTTCATAGATCGATAACTGCGGTCGGTTAGAGGAAGAGTTCTCAAAGAGAAAAAGCTGCGAAGATTTTGCCTACATCAAACACTTATTCCATTCCCGGAGAAAGTCTAAAAAATACGTGCAAATAAAGCGCGTATCTGTGGAAATTGGCATCTTTCGAAGTGAAGAAGATTCTTTTGCGATCGACATAAAATTCTTCCTTCGACACGAGTCTCTAAATTTCCTGCATTTTTCCATTCTTATTCAGCATGGTGTTGTCGATAGTGTGGTATTGTTCTAGAAAATCTAACAGTACCTCGTTAAATTGAGTTCTTAATTTTTTCCTCTTTTTTTCTTGTACAAGCTTCTTTGGTACGTGACAACAACGACACCGATGTCTAAATTCTTGAATTTTTGCTTCAAATCTATTTTCTTTTTTAATCACATCCAAAACGTCACAAGACTACTTTCAATGTTCAGAAAAATGAAAACTCGAATGCAGGCCATACTGTACGTACGCGGTGTATCGAAAGCACGGATACACTGCACGCAACAATATGACGAATGAGTGTGTCGATCGATCGTTTGAGGATAAGGTTCGTGAAATTTACAGATCGTTGTGAAATGTAAATATAAAAAAAAAAACAAAGTATAGAATGTATAGTCTCGAAATGTTGTATAGATACATCTTATCAATGAAATTGTTAACAGTTCTTCTTAGTGACATCTGCGACAATTTTGAACATAATTGCAGGCTTCAGCTATGAGATACACGTTCCGATAACAAATCTCTTTTAAATAAATAACAATACCGTAATTTTCATTAATCTCACGCGACCTACGTTGTTTGTGTCTATAAGTATACATTGTATCCCCCTACACCACTAGGCAGATATTAGTTATGGTTTATACGTTGTTAAATCCTGTACTGTACAGACACGATATATTGTAACATTGAATCGAAACACTGAATTTCAATGTGAAATTAACAATCGAAAGATAAAATACTTGTAAATCACAAAAATTCATGTCAAAAAGTGATGTATGTCTAATAAAAATGATAATCCACAAAAAACCTTCCTGAAGTTCATTTCAACGAAGCGTGACACATTTTCGAGATATTCGTAAAAAAGAAATGAATAGCACTATTTTCTGACCCGAAACTATATTCAACGCCTAATCGATCATTTTCCAAAAAAAAAGAAAGAAAAGAAATCAAACGAAATAGTCTCAACACATTTGGATCATCGGCTATCTAAGAAGTTTCAAAATGGTTTGCTGTCGTTCCTCGAAAGTGGAAGATCGAAAAGTGAAGAAACCTTATTTAGGAGGATGGAAGCACAAATTGACGAGAATAGAATACTTAAACGCCGAGTCGCAGACAGGCCCGTTAAGAATGCCAGCGAAAGAAACGTGCAGCAAGAAAGTGCAATACATTTCTTGGACCGAGGTATTCACACAAACGCCGTGCCATCATCCAACGCAAATGTGGAGGTAACGGTTTCATTCTTCGAAATTAAAGCAGAAGATCGTTCTCCTTTCTTCAACTTCCTCTCTCCCTTCCTTTCAGACCTGATTGTTTCGTATCGAGCGAGAAGGACAAGCTGATAACGTCGCAACCGTACGAGACGTACGAGGAGATGATGGCACGACTGGACTACGATGGAAAAGCACGGATCATCCAGAGAAACTATCGAATATACAAGTTGTTGAAACACGTTCGAGAATTCGCTAGAGAGTATCGCGAGCTGGTAGCGAATTGCGAACGGCAAGAAGCGGAGAAGATATTGATGTACAGGTATAACAATCGTTTAACCCATTCGAGGCCAGCGACTTCTCGAAAGTCGGTCCGCGAAAATGTTTCTTCTTCTTTATATTGAAAATTGAGAAAAGAAGACATGTTTGGGAAGTGAAAAATTAACACCTGTGTCTACGCTCACTTTGTGGCCCTAGCTTGAAACCAACGCAGGTTTTAATATCTACAGAGCTTTTACTTTTATTTCGTTTAAATCCACGATCGTTACACACACGGTCTGTCGTTGGTCTTTTCGCCAAGGGACGGCATTTCGCCTCGAATGGGTTAAAGAATTCACGATCTTCGATCGACAAACGCTACATATATCGATCCACGTGGTCAGGAGGAGGCATCAGCAGGAGATCCTTCGAAGAATCGATCCGAAAACTCGGCTGGACTTCGACTTGCTGTACGATTTGGTGGAGAAATGGCGGCAGGATCGTCTCGAGTGTGCGAAACGACGATTCTTCAGACCGGCTAGATGCGCGGAGAATTACGCGATCCTCGAGAAAACCGTGGAGATGTTGAAGATGATCGACGAGAAGAGACAAGCCGTGCAGAAACGTCACAGAAATCGAAAACGCGTGAAATTCATCGCGGTGAATTGCAAGCCTATTTCGTGGAACGGATACAAGAACATGCTGCTAGAGATGGACACGACGAGAAATCAGAAGGCACGAGAACTGAAGACGATCTACGATTCGTTGACGAATTACAAGATCAGTCGAGGGGAACGCATGGAGATACTGACGATGCTGAAGAAATCGTTGGAAGCGCACAATTGCATCGCTGCATTCGATTTGATACGACTTCTGGACCAAGAGCTGACCTACTTGGCAAGAGAGATGAAAGGCATGTCGCTGGACTACTTTCGGGAGAGGATAGTTTGTAAGAAAAAAAGGGAATTCGTGAAATTCTTGTCTGTGATACGCGAAATTGGCGGAAATAAAAAACCACGTTTCTCCCTCGTTTTCTCTCTTCGTCCACTGTGTAGACGGGTATTTGAACTTTCTACGATCGTCACACTCGTGCTGTTGCGTGAACAACGACGTGGACTTTTGTAGAAACGTGGAGGATGAGAAATTACGCGAACCGATCGAACCTGCGACGAAGATGTGCCATAGCTGCATGAAACTGCTGCCTAATCACAGATTCACCATTCACGGGAGGATGAAGAGGTTGACTACTTGCATCGGTACTTTCTCTTTCTTTTTCTCCTTCGTCCTTCTCTCGGCAAGAGTTTTTCACGCAAACTTCGTCTAAGGAAGATTTAACAGTAAGGCTTGAACGTTTCAAGGATGCACTTGGCTGCGTGAAAGAAACATCGCGCACGTGAGTTACGATCCGTACATATTTCTTCTGAACTGCGTGCGCTCCGAGGAGAGGAAGATGGAATCACCGTCGGCTGTCGCGTTTACGATGCAAAAACACGATATCTACCACTTGGTGAACAATATTTGGCACGGCCATTCGGTCGTCAGCGGGAACAGAGACCTATTTCTCCTGAGGATCGTTCGATACGATATGAAGAAGGAGTGGTCGCCTTGGAATTGTATCCTTCTGACAGACGAGGAGGCCGAGGTTCATCGTTGGATCAAGGATCTCCCGTCCGTGTATTCGGAGCCGCTTATCGAACGGATCCTGTTGTCTCATCAGTTAGCGAAAAACCAATTCAAGTATGTGAACGTATAGCGAGCCTCGCTGTTACTTACGTCTCCGACGATCGTACAGAGTGGAAATAACGTATTGATTGGGTACGGGGTTACAGGCACTTGAGAGAGTTCGAGGAAGAGTTTCGAGACGAGTTTCGTAAGATCGAAGACAAAGCTGTGTACAAACCGGCGATCAAAGTGAACGATTATCTGTTCTCGTGATGTGAAACACTTTCTTCCTTTTTTATTCACACTCGTGTAAATTTATCTATCGCAATACAACGGCAATTGAAGTATCAGTTTCCAATTATTCGGCACGGTGCTATTGATATTTATCGGTTCACGCGATACCATGGGGGGTGAAAAAAAAAGGACCAAAAGAGGAAAGCGTTCGTGCGTATATACCAAAACCTCGTTAATCAGTCCAGAGACACTTTTTTTCTCTCTCTTTTTTTTTTTCACCCAACGGGACAGACTATCACGGTGGTTTAGATATCGTTTGGTGTATCCGGCGTTAAGAGAACGATCGAAAAAAAAAAAGAAGAGAAAAGTTTCGGTGGGCTCTCTTTGAACGAGGGACATATAAAATCGAAAAATAATGGACTAGAAAGTGCTTTTGACCGATCGACCAAGCAGGTTGCCATTGGCAACGGTGGATTTAAGGCTTTGAGCTTTCAGGTGGGTGCAGAGGTCTCCTGTATATGGACTGCGTCGCATTAAAAGCTCCGTTCGTTCTTCTCTGTCCGACCGCTTCCGGGACCGCTAACCTTTTCCTTTTTTTCTCTCTCTCCTCTCTTCTGCGCCGTTTCGATAAATCTAGCGGCACACGTTATTTCAAGGCCTGCCTCTTGGCCGCGTCGCGACGCTACGTCGTTGGCCAATTTACGGGTGGACGGGAGGAGTGACGATAAATTTCGCTGGCGACGACGACGAATCGCGGCGGGACGAGCGATGAATAATCGCGCCAGCAGCTTCACCTGATAAACACCGGCGTTAGAAAGGTAATTTATGGGACGAACGATTTCCAGACGGTGGATTGTTGGTGAGTCGAGATACAAACTTTACTCCAATTCGCGTGTGATTCGTTTCGTTCATCAATCGTCCATTAGTTTTTCTACACTCGTCTCGTTCGGTTCATTCGCGACGGAGTTCATTTTATAAGCAGATTATCAATTCCTCAGGCGAGGATTTATAAAGTGTGAAACGGATAATAGCAATCACCCGGCGAATCAATTTTTCGGCCATTCGTTATGGTATTATCGAAACTAGACCCTTGATTGTCCGTTCTGCTGATTATGGAACGTTCGTTCCATTTCTCTTTTTCTTTCTCCCCTCGAGATAATGAAAAAAAATCGCGTAACATCGCCGCGGAATTTTTCCCTCCTGTTCTCGAATTTAGAGTTCGTTCGTTAATATTATTTCAATGTCCGCGCCGGAGGAGTATTTCGAATTTAAATTCCAGCGGAATTTCGTCGGGCCGTTATCGTGCCGTGCAGGGAATATTGTTTCGGAATATTTATATTTAAATTCGCGAGAGTAGGAGAGAGGGACAGGGGGAAAATGGAAGAGGAAACGTTAATCCCCGATAGAGGGATGAAAAACCATCGACTTGGAGATTCTGCGAGAGCGCGTGCTTGCAGCTCTCGGAGCTGTTACATCGCCGATTCCCTTTTTGCATTTCTTCGACGCTCCAGGCGGTTTGCTCGAATAGTTCTGCGTTCGTGTCGTCTCTTAGCTACCTCTATTTCCGTTTTCCCCTTAAATAATTCATAACGCGAGGAGAGAGCGCGTTGCACCGCTTGGAAAATTTCGAAAAACCAAGAGCAATAATTCACACGGATCTTCTCCTTCCGGTGGAAACGTTCAATTCTCTCGTTCGGGGGAACAATCTCGCGAAGAAACAGCAAGCACGAGATGATATTCTCGAAAAATCTGAGAAGAAGAATTAAGATCTTTTCTCGGGAGAGATTTTCCTCGGAAGGACGATAGACGAGGATGAATTGGAAATTGTCGGTGAAAAAGACCACGTTTAAACGACGTGCCCGTGTCTTTCTCCTTGTGTCGCGTTAACGAGAAGAAACGAAGTCGCGAATGAAAAAAAGATTGAACGCGGGTGCTCGCATCAGGCAGCCTCGTCGCCTGCGGTTCGTGCATTTTCGACTTGGCCGCCTCTTCGCGGGGATCATGAATATTTCATGGGCAGGTGTACACGCGCAGTCAGCTGTCGGCGATCCAATTAAACGGAAATGAAATTTCTCCGTGCTAACGTTTAACAAGCAAAGTGTAAACACTTAACTCTCGCTGGACAAAGTTGGTTCACGATGCAACGTCGTGCCCTCTTCGAATTAGAAACTCGTATCGATTGAAAATCTGCGTGTAGTACAATTTAAACTAAAGCAAATAATCACGCTGAATTTACGTTCGCCGTATTTTCTCTCCTCTTCAAGCCTGTTTCACGCTGAAAGTTCGAAAACTCGCTGCTATTTTTCCTGCTCTTTTCCTTCACCCTCTGTCCACGTTGCTTCGGAGTTTTCAACGTTTTCACAAGCGGAGAGGATGGAAGAAAAAGGGGCGAAAGAGAGCAAAGGAAGACTCAATTAAAACGGGGTTAAACGAACGAGAGAAAGAAAAATTTAAGCGATTGCGCGCGTTTCCCTTGTTTAAAGGGACGCGCGGTGCGTTTAATGCACTCGAGTTTCACGATTCTCCGCGTTCCCGCCGGCGCATTTTCGCTAGATTTCCATCAGCCGTAAAACCTCGAAGGGCGCATTCCTCCGTTCGAGCTTCCGTCGTTGTTCGCCGGGATAACGTGGAATTAAGCAACGCCGCGAATTAACGAGAATTTCAAGACACCGAGGATAAAATTGCACAGTTTGTTTTCCACCGTCTTTTTTCCTCCACCATTTTCAGGGCAGACTTTCAACGTTTCAAACGTGAAGATCTCGCTGTAATTCGAAAAGTGCATCGGCATAAATGCATCATTTTCGTCGGAGGAGGAGAGGTGACGTTTCACGGCCGTAAAGTTCGAACGGCGGAACGATTGATTTGGATCGCGCGCGAAACAATTTGGCGCGTCGCGTCGCGTCGTTCCCGCGTGTTACGTTTACGGTCCCGTAGACGGTTTTCTGGCCGACGCAGCCGAGCAACTTATTTGCGGTCGAATTTACGCTGGCAATACACTTATTTATGACCGAATTTGTGCCAGTCCGCGTTCGTTCACGGTGAAATTTATGCTACACTAAGCGGTCACCGATAACGCCCGCGTTTATGACCGAATTTACGGCGGGGCGATACGCGAACGTGCTCGATGATTGACGCTCTAATATTTACGCCGTTTGCTCTACCAACCGCGCCGAGTAGATCAGCCCAAGTTTAACGCGGCTTTATGATTTTTTCATCGTCCATTACGACTTTGAAACTTCCTCGCCGAGTAAGCCCGGTTTCCCCCCGATTATACTCTTCGAACTTGCTAATGCCTTGAAAGCTATTCGCGCCAAGAACATTACATATTCTCTAGAAATGGAGCCTCGACTTTGCTTAAAAAACGAAGGAAAAGTTTCTCGCTTCGCTCGGGAATATTAATTGCACACCTTCGATTATATTTCAATCGTACGAAACGAAGAAGTCTCCTTTTTTCAATTCGACAATTCGTTCGCGGAATAAAATTGCACGAAAACGAGGGGTCTGCGAAACGAACGTCGAACTAAAGCGCGTCTGTCTTCAGTTGGGCGAGGCAGACTCTCTGTTTGTGGTGCTTTACGAGGCTGCCAGTGTCACCAGAGGCCCGTGTTTGCACAACGTGATTTCTAATGTCACACCGCTGCATTTACATTACGCTACAGGCCTGTTAATGGCACGTGGTTATGTTTACAATGCGCCACGTGGCCCGTAATGTCACTGCGCCGTTGTTTACGCTGCATCACGTGGCCTTTGGTTTGCGATGCTCTTGTAACGACGATTCGGAATCGCACGTTTGCCAAGCACAGCCTAAGTTATGGATTTCGTGTAAAGTCCGGTTGTTGTCTCGCCGCGAATAATCAGATACAGCTTGTCGCTCCGCGCCGTTGTTCACGCGTGAATTGCCTCGCGTAATTACAATACGTCCGCTGCTTTTTATTTGCTAACTGAATCATTTATGACAGACAGTGTCTCGAATTATGTTAAGCTTGATTTCTAATTTTTACTTTCCTTGTAAAATAGAGTCACACTTATGGGGTGTTGAGATACGACAACACTGAGTTTCCCCAATTTTCAATGTTAACTCTAACTTCAATTTTAATTTGTAAGTCTGAGGTTTATTAGACAGAAACTGCACATACTGTCGTAATCGCTTTTATTTAATACATTATTCGAGCGACGAGTACTTATCGTTAATCTACCTTTAACATTCTTAACTCTTTCGCTACGGCGGGTGACTGGCGGCAAATTTTTAACCGCGGCTGTAAAATTTCTTATTTTGCCCGTTTCGTATTAAAATTCGGTTTATTAAATTAAGGTGGAAATGCGTAAAGGATCAAATTAAGCAATTAATTAAGCATTTAAAATTAAGATAAAATTTTCAAAACGCCTGTAGGCGCCAATAGTAACGAAAGGGTTAAAGACTGCACATACGTAAAGGTATTCTTAAAAATTCGAACGGTATTACTTTCAGATAACCGCCTATTACGATGCACTGAAAAAGGAAGAAAGAGCAGCGTGGAACTTTTGCTACGCTCGTTCGAACAGGGGTGAGGAAGATCAAGAAGAAGCTTGCGGAGGAAAGTTTCGCAGGAAAGGGGATCGAGAAGAGTAAACCGAAGGGATTATTGTCGCGGGAGGTAAGAGGACACGCGTCCACGAATACAACTTCCCGATTATCTAAATCCCGCGCAGCCAATTTCGGCCGCGTTCCCCTTCCTCGCCATTGTCCGACCGCCGCTCGTTTGGAATTGTAAAACGGCGGACGATGCAGTCCTCCCGGTGAATCCTTTAAACCTTGGCATAGTAATTTCCTTTACTACCCGCATTACCATTATCCCATTGTGCCTTTCACTGGTTATCCTTACAGCGTCGAGTTTCTTCTTTTTTCTCCATTGCTCTTGCCATCGATCGATCCTGCGTAACCACTGCTCATCCTTCGAATCCTTCAACTTTCAGATGGAGAATCCTGCAAGCAAAACGAAGGGGTTCTTAGGTGGCTGGAGGAGCAAAGTTACGGGGACCGTTTATTGCAACGCGTGCACGCAGACTGGAGGAAACGAGGGGAATGTTAGCTCTACAGGTTCGTGAAGCTCGGTTATTTAGCAAATTAATGTTGGTTATTCGCAATACAATTTTCATTGTAACAATAAGGAAACGTTCGGAGTATCTATGCGTTCGTATAGCGTGTCTTGTTCAGAAAAGTTCAGTAAAGTCTCCCGGTCCTTCTATTCACGTTCTTAGGAGCGTCTTAAGGAACATGGAAAAGAGGTGGGAAATTAGTCCTGTAGCGAGCTTCTACGCTCTGCCACCAGAGGGACGGACTAACCACGAGTTCTCGCTAGTCCTCATAAAAGCTTCCGTTTGTATATATATAACTTCTGACCTGAGTCTTTCCAGTCCCTCCGGCGTGTAAAGCACGGGCCTCCTAAATAAAAAGCCTTACTGTCGAATCACTAGAAGGTCCAAGACGAAAAACGCCCTCTTCTACCTCTTTCGTTTTTCGCCTATCCTCTCTGTCACTTTCCTCCATCCCTTCAGTCCTGTCCAATGGGAAGGATAGAGGAAAATTCGGGGGTATCGAGGAGTCCCTGGCGTTCGTTTACTGCGAGTAAACTGGGTTAAGCTTACAGAAGAATAAGCTTGCGATACATCAATTGCTATTGAGTATATGAGAGGCCACCAAACGCTCTTAAAAACCAAGCGTTAATTTAGGCGTTTCTGCTGATCTTAAAGTTAAATATGCGATAGGAAAATAAAATGTTGAAATTCTGGAAAATAGAAAATCATGAACTTAGGGCAATCTGTTGTCCTTAACAGGGAACGAAGGGAGAAAGGAAAACGAGAAAAGAAGAGTGGAAACGGATTTCCGCGTGAACAAATTTACGAACACGGGATACAACGTGGCTGTGCAGGCGGAATTCTTCCCTGATATTCGCGACAGACTGGTGGGAAGCTCTTCGAAGAACACTTCGAGCGGTTTTACAGGTGAAGTAATGGACGACTGGAGTCGGTGTAGAATTTATGGGTGGCGAAGGGGTGGTTTTTTCATATCTCTACGTGGTAGAAGGCTACGAAGCCGGGGATGTTTTATTAAATAGGTCGATTCTGCCAATTAATTGTCATAGCCAGGCGGATGGTAAAATTTGATGGTTAGAGCGAGATATACAATTAGTCTACGTTGCATAAGTAGGTAGGATGAAGACTGGTTAGAGGAGCAAAATTTTCTCCTTAAGACTTGTACTAAAAGTTTTCGGTCCAAGGTACTAAGGGATTGCTGGTAATAATTTAATATCGCGGTGGGGATTCAGAGAAATCTCTCCGACTCTTACCAATTACTATTTCAATTCTCTTGGATATTTTTAATACGAATTTTCGTAAAAATTTCAACCAACTTTAGCTTTTCATGGGTTTTATTAGATCGTGTCACGTGAAATTGCTGTGGAACGAAACAGTGACGATGTCAGAAATAATTATATTTATTTAATTAAAATGTACACTATTCATTAATTTTTCGGTAGTTTCAGTTCTTTCTGGGGTATTCTAGTTAAAATAGACACTATATTTCAACACGATTTACCTGCACTATGGCCTAATTTACATTCATATAGGAAAAGTGTTCTACGTTCTTTCAGAGACATCCTATTGTCTGCTCACATAAAACAGTTAAACAACCTCGAAAAGCACTTCAATAAACAAAGGAAACAAAGGAGAACAGCACCGAAACAACTTCTACAATATAGCACAAGTAAAAATACAAGTTGCATAAAGTTAACTAATCACACTTGATATTCTACCAGCAATTTCATTCAGTAAAACCTAAACCTGCGTCCACACAAAACTTCCTAAAAAAAGGATTAGAAAAATGTTATACTTTCTTACACAGCGTAAACGCAGCTTAACCCTAGAGCGGTCTTCGCTTTGACTGTACACTTAAGACTTTTGGGTTAAAAAGGACCTAAGACCTTACGTGTAATCATTTTTGTTTCCAACGCGACATACGAACCTAGACAATAAACGTTTAAAATAATGTTAAGAAACGTAAACTCGATAACAGCAAAAATTACTAAAAATATAAAAGACCGATCTAGGGTAAATGCAACAATTAGCAGCAACCTTCACCCGCCGAAAAATGCACTTTCCCATCGTCGATACACCACCGAAACGGTTAAAGTTCTCGATCGAACGAAATACTTACCGAGTAACACCCGGAACTTCCTCAAACCCCCGGTTCTAAACCCCCGGATTTGCCCGGAATCGAACGTTTGTCAAGGAAGAATCCCCGCTCGAGGAGCGGGTGTCTGTATCGCAACTACGTGGCGTAAACTCCGCGGCGATACGGAACAAAATCTACCCGGAACACCTGTTCAAACGTCCGTTCGACGTTGCCCGCAGAGCTCACCGCGGCGAGCAAACCGCTATCCGGGCATGCAGAAGCGTTTCACCGTGCTCTAAGAACACGAGTCACCGGCAAATACACGGAGAGCCGTCGACCTACCGTAGCCAGGATTTCGCGATACTAAACCGCACGTCCCCGGCCACCAGGGCGGACTTCCAGTTGCTCTACAATTTGCTCGACCGTTGGCGTGTCCGCGAAACGGAGAAAGCTACCCTGCAACTATTCACCTCGTCCAGAGTCGCGCTGGCCGGTCTAATCCTGGCGAAGGAGGTGGAACTGCTGCGAGCTATAGACCGGATGAAAACGAAGGTGAAATTCGCGAGAAGAGAGGGAACTTATAGAAAATTCTTGGACGATTCGGCGAGACCTGTTTTGTGGAAGAACAGTCGAGGAGAGAGGATTCTCGTGGAGACTCCTCGCGTGAGGAAAGCTGGAAGCTTCAAAGATACGTTCGAGAAATTGTCGAAAGAAGATGGATCAGTTGATGAACGTAGAAAAATGTTGATCGAATTGAGAAAGGATATCGAGCCACATACGTGTAAATCTTCCGACGAGTTGATACGTCTGTTGGATCAAGAGATCGATTTATTAACTCGTCGCGTTGACGAGAGTAAATTGAACTGGTTGAGGAGCAGATCGAAGATGGCTTTCCTGAGACTAGCCAGGGAAGCATTGAGGAACGAGTGCGAGGATTCGATCCGGCCTGGACGTCGAATTATTTGCAGAAGTTGCGGTCGATTGTTGCCGATGGAGAAGTTTCCGCGGGACGAACGACGTCGTTCGTTTTCCTGCAATTACTGTCTGTACGTGAAGGCTCGAACGGTGCCTCGAGTTGTCTACGAACCGTATCAGAGGCTGTTGCGCGACGTCAGGCGTCGCGAGGCTAACGCGCGTTGTTACAACAGCCTGGCGTTCGTAGTCGATGCTAAGATCGTGTACCATTTGGTGAACGATATCTGGCACGGGAAATCGGCCATTTCCGAGAACGACCGTCTGGACGAGCTGAGATTGGCGAGACTTCGCAAAGGGGAAGCGTGGTCACCGTGGAATTCCGTTCTGCTGACCGCGAGGGAGGCTTCTTTGCACGGGAAGGTCGACGACCTCGAGAAGTTTTACGGGCCGATGATACTGCAGAAGTTCCACACGAAGAATCTGCAGGCCAAAGTTCGGTTCGAGTCCGTGGCCGAATTTAAAAGCGAGAAGAACAAGTCGGTGTTCTTCGCCGAGTGTGATTAAGAGGTGCTTTATTATCTTTCCCTTGGAAAAACTACCTCGCTTTTGCTCCGGTGTCTTTAATAAATGAATGTTTTCTGTGAAATTTTTTCGGCTGAATTCATAGCAAATTGAACGTTGCGAATTTAAATTATTCATTTAGGAAGACTCTTATTGTCTTCTTATTTTTTTTTTATTTTTATTCTTTTAATCTAGTCTGCGAGATTAATTGCAACTTTGGTTTCACTTTGTCGAATATACCGCGTTTTTCTTTTCTTTTTCGACGCAGTCTACGTTATTTTCTGCTGTCTATTGTATTCGTAACTTCTTGTTACCGTTAAGCACGCTTTTCTAATAAATTGACAGCTCTAAATAAGCTGCTATTAATTAAAATCCTCCTTAAAACGTCAGACTTAAACTGCTAATGATCCTAATAAATCTAAAGAATTCACCCAAGCGGTGTCTCTCAGTCACCATCAATTCCCCTGGCCTTTACTTCCACAAAATGCAAAGGACAACGCGTACTACCATCCTGTAAAATTGTTCACATAATTCCGTAAATAATTTCAGCTTATTATAACTTGCTCGGGGAAACAAGTAGCCACGGTATACTACTAGTTTTATTTCCAATTAGAAACTTGCGTACATTAGGGCCGTTGAAGTTAGCGACGCTCCTCGCTTCTCTCAGCTTTGGTCGCGTTGATAGCGCTCGAGTTAATCGCCGCTCAGTTTCGCAAACTAAGTTCGCCGCCGGCCAAGAAAATGCTCGTCGAATCACCGGTTACACGTTTTCAACCCTTTCCACAATCCCCGTGTGTCTTTTGTACGCAGAAAGGGAACCAGTGGCGCGAAGCCGGCTCTCAATTTCGATAACTCCTGGAAAAACTGGGAAAGGGCTCGATGTTGGAGGATCGTACAGTTGACGTTCTGAAGAATAAATCGAAATGGGAAAATGACTTTTTCCTTTTGCCTAAGCGGAGTGAGTTCGAAGATTCGTGTATGTATATACGGCATAAAGGGGGATAGTTTGATCGAGTCTCGGATTTCGCCCGATTTTTCTCTGTTTCCTTTTGCGAAAGATTCTCTTTCTGCTTGCGCGCAATGTTTGTTAAAGGAATAATCGACAGATTAAAGTGTGATCCCCTGGAACGAGTGTATCCCCGAAACTGGTTTCCAATTAAAGGAAAAAAGCCGATCGATCTCTTTGAAGATTGGTTGAAGTTGAGGTTGTGTGTGTTTTTTTTCGCCTCTTCTGTCTTTCGTACGCGATAAGAGTAACGGATATCTAAACGTCGGTGTAGCTTTGTTTATTCAAATACTCTTTGTACGTTCTTTTTCCAGCTTACACGTAATCCAAATAAGCACGAGTAGCCCTGAAACGTTCGCCGGTAGTTAAACCAAGGTCCAGTTTTACTACGCGGAAAGTAAAAAGAAGAGAAATATACATGTACGGGGTGTTTCAAAACTGTGGGGTTTAATTTGGATTTGTGATCGAAGCTCGGAAAGTGTATCAACCCTTATGTCAATAACCAGAATTGTCGTCTACTTTATCGTCCAATTTTAGTAGTTCTCTGATAAGAAAATTGTAAATTTGAGGCAAACACGGATAGGAAATGTGCCAAACAACAACAATCTGGCCGGATATTTCAATCTTTTACCTTGTTGCGTCGTGCGCTTCGAACAAGCGGTATGCTCGAGAGTGGTGGCGCAGGATTGTCGGTGGTTCTTGGTGTGGGTTGGTTGTTGGTGTGAAGTCGTGGTGACTTAGAGTTTGCACGTACTTTAATATGTTGTAAGACAAAGGCTTTATGTTGAAGAGTGACAATTTTAGGTGGTGTGTGTTCGTTACGTGTTACTTGTCTATTTTCCCCTTTTGATCTGTCTTTCGGCCGCGTTGGTGCGCTTATTTATAAATGGGTGTGCGGGTACAAGGTGGTGGTTTCCGCCAACGAGGACGGGTCTACCCTCTTGGACGGTCCTCCCTGGCCCGCGAGCATGCCGCCCACCCTGGAATTTCCAAGTTGGCAGGGTGGTGGTATGTCGCGATGGCGGGGGAGTGAGGCCCAAGGGTAGCCCGCGCGTAACGGGACTTTGGGCGGTCAGGGAGACGCGAAAGGTTTTGTGACATGTCAGTGTCTATCGAATGTTGACGAGTGGGCACCGGGAAGGTATGTGGCCCGCGGAAAATTTATTTTTCTGCAGCCGTAAAACGCTTCCTGGGCTTCGTGGCCAATTTGAAAGAAAAATTAATTAACGCGAAGAAAAAAAAGGGGCGCATTCAAAAATAGCGTAAACAGGCGTCCGTGTCATTTAAATATGTCGAGTGTGACTCGACAAAGAAGTGTAAAGGGTTGAATAGCAATAATAATGTAGCATCGGGGCCTCGATACCCAAATAGGAAACCGACAAGGGTTTAATTAACGCGAAGAAAAAAAAGGGGCGCATTCAAAAATAGCGTAAACAGGCGTCCATGTCATTTAAATATGTCGAGTGTGACTCGACAAAGAAGTGCAAAGGGTTGAATAGCAATAATAATGTAGCATCGGGGCCTCGATACCCAAATAGGAAACCGACAAGGGTGAATAGAGAGGGGGTAGTTGGCGTAGTGCGCAAAGCCTCGGCTTGCTAAGCCGAAGGTCCCGGGTTCGATCCCCGTTGGAGCCCTCAAAATTTTTCTCTAGGTTGCTACAATAATAATAGTTTATTAACAATAGTAAAATAGAATTAAATTAAATGTTTAGTCAACTCTAAACCACACAGTTTCTAACACTATATTCTCTCTACACGATCTTTCGTTCAACGCTATCTCCTCTCTTCCAAATCTTACCCCACACTCTGTCGCTCAATTCCACGCTTTTCTTGAACCACCCTGTGCATGTCTACCGGTACAGTTAAAGGGGGAAATAATAATAAAGCGTAACGAAACGCTCGCCTTATGGTTTATCGCAGGCTGCGTAATGCGCGTAAAAATGGTAACTTTTATTTCCGGGCGAACTGTGTCGTAACGCGAAAACCTTCCACGGTTTACATTTCAACCGGCAACTCTTTCGCCGCGAAGGTTTCTCCCATTCGAGATTTCAATTTCAGAGCAGCCTCGTTAGACTCGTTTAATCGAGAGCTGCGAGCTCGGTTACGTTTCGAGTTTCGTGGCTAATAGCGATTCGATAACGTTCTGCTCGAGTATCAATAAGCAATCGTGGAGGTATGTATCAATAAGAAACACGACATCTCACGCAGTTTACTCGGTGAATGTATTTATCGAGGATGCTTTGAGCGGTCAGCGAAACGCCCGATCAAATCGTACGTTGCTTAGTATCGGTCAAACGGTCTTCAAAGGCGAGTTCATAAATGTCAAACACGCGATAGAGCTGAAGCGACAGGGTTCGCTGTACCGTCGTCTTTGGTGTCACGGTTTAGCTGCGTTTTTCTGTTTACCGACCGTGTGCTGAATCAATTTAATCGCTTTTAAAGCTGTCTATCGTTTTTTCAGAAGATTTAAAACATTTTAGAAGCACTGTGAAACAACTGAGCGATCTGTAGTCTATGTTTCGTTTCTTTGCGTTGTGAACTGAGTACCATCGACGTATGTCGATCCTTTCTTTTTTGAAAGCAGGGTAAAAGTCTGAAAGAAATTGCTGTGATCGTCAAAAATTCGCGTTGTGTCTCTTCAAATAAAATATTAACGAAAGAATGATTGCTTTCACATTTTAATAGTTTTATTTTCTCTAAATACAAACTGAGCGATCTGTAGTCTACATTTTGTTTCTTTGCGTTCTCTTAGTTTCGCTGTTTCCTTGAAAAAGAGTTAACTGAGTGACCATCGACGCAAGTCAATCCTTTCTTCTTTAGAAGCCGGACAAAAGTAAAAAGAATTTGTTGTGATCGTCAAAAGTCAGCGTTGTGTCTCTTCAAACAAAATACTGACAAAATTAATAAAAAAGTCATTGCTTTCTCATTTCAATACTTCCATGTCCTCCAGACACAAACACATTTTTAAAAATAATCCATACTTGACGAAGTGCCTAATACTTTCTCCTCAAGGCAGTTGAATATTCATCCAGGTTACGTCTGTGAAACTCGAAATATTCGACGCGTACGAAATTCAAACTTACCTCTCTCTCTCTCTCTCTCTCTCTCTCTCTCTCTCTCTCTCTCTCTCGAAACGTTTACAACGTTCAGGATACAACAGGTAATAACGGAACAGTTACAGCAACCGCGGCGTAGATTATATTGCCGCGCCTAGTATAGACACACGGTTAAGTAGTTTAGGGCCGCATGTGGTCAGACACCTAGTTTAATGTAAGACGATTACACGGTGAACGCGATGTGCGCGTGCTATATATGTATATACGAGACGCAACTACGTCAAACTGACGTACCAGTCTACTCTAGTAATTTCCCTCTCGGATACCGAATAATATCTCCACCTCGCGAAATTGCAGATGCTCTCTCGGCCCTTTGAATGTTTACCGCTTAAAATACCGTCGCAAGAACGGGGTAGGAGAAGAGAGAGACACAATTGTGAAACAATGCGAGTATTCCAGCTGAACTCGCCGTTAAAAGGTTCTCCAGCGATATTCTCCATGGCCATTCGGCTAGGACCTTGGCGAAAGGTGGAACCGGAAGCGGGAGACGGAACGATTTGCAACATTGTTGCAAACCCTCCTCGAACATCGCTTTTCCTCGTTGCCGCTCGCTCTAGCAACAATGCGGCAAGTTCGGAAAGCTCCGGTGGGAAACACTATCATGATAGTTCTCCCGCGTTCTTCACTCGGATATACATACGCGTGTCGTCTTTCCACGAATTAATCGTATATACAACTTGTTGGATTATTTCTGGGAGATTTCTCTGGGAGGAGGAAAATGTCTCGGCGTTCTTTTAGACAAAGACACTAGGACTTCCACCAGATGTGTCTCCGGTGTTCGTCTTCGTGTTGTCGCGGTAGGCGCCACCCGACCTGTGGTATGCGAATGGGTTTCCCTTGTCTTATGATACATGTAAGACTAAGGAAATACAGGCGCTT